GTATGAATATTGGTTTTTGCACAACGATAGCAGCAAAGTAACTATCCAGTGTAGAAGGAGGTGTCAATGCAAATGGAATAAAAAAAAGTGTAGGCTGCCTATGTGTACTTGTGTTGGGGGGAAGAGATGTCATTTTAGGGTGGTTGCAAGGACGTCTGTCAACCAAGATTATTGGCAGATTAAGAATCTAAATTTGCAGCACAAGTGTTTAAGGGCCAGCAGCAATCTCAACCTTACTGCTGAATTTTTAGCTGAGAAGTACATTGAGAATTGGAGAAGTGAGCCAGGGTGGAAAATAAAAAGCTTTAGAAGGAGGGTTTTAGGCGATTTTGGCATAGAAATTACATACAGCAAGCTTGGATGGCAAGGGCTAGGGCAAAGCTCATGATTTATGGATCAACAGTAGAATAATATGCAAGAGTGTGGTACTATGGGAAGGCTTTGATGCAGCATAGCCCTGGCAGTGAATGTAATGTTGTGGTTGATGAATGTAATGTTGTGGTTGATGGATTGGAGCAGATTGAGCCCCCATTATTCATGATGATGTTCATTTTCCTTGCACCACTGAGGAAAGGATTTCTGTCTGGTTGCAGACCACTAATAGGGGTTGATGGATGCCATCTCAAAGGTCCATATCCTGGTCAAATACTAGTTGCATTTGGTAAGGATGTGAATAATAACATTTACCCTATTTCCTGGGCTACAGTTGAAATAGAGAATACAAAAACATGGGTTTGGTTCCTTGAGAGCCTAATGAAAGCCTTAAAGGATGAAGATCGAGGCCTAGGATATACCTTTATATCTGACAGGCAAAAGGTAAACATATATCCATACAATTTAGAATGATGAATTTAATTTCAAGTTACTTCACTGATTTAGTACATGTGATGTGTGAACAGGGTTTGGTAGAAGCTTTGCAACAGGTTGTTCCTTATGCAGACACAAGGTACTATGTCAGACATATATGGGCTAACTTCAAGTTGCAGTTCAGTGGATCCACTTTCAAAGAGTTGTTCTGGTCAGCAGCAAGGGCAACAACATTGGTATGCTTGGTATTTACACTGTTATGTAATGTTGTCTGTTTCATTTAACATCCACGAGTGAGTGTTTGTGTTCTGATTTTATATGTTTGAATGTTTACCCTTCCTGTTGTAGTTTGACTTTGAGGTAGCAATGGAGTCAATAAGGTTCTTGTCTGAGGAAGCTTTTGAATATCTTGCTGACATCCCAGCAAACACTAGTCTAGACATGCATTTAGTACATTCCCAAAGTCAAACATGTTGCTCAAAACATTTGTGAGACTTTTAATGCTGCAATCAAAGAAGCAAGGGATAAGCCTATTTTGACTCAGATGGAGTGGCTTAGGAGGTACATGATGAAAAGAAACAATGACAAATGGGAAAGTTTTCTGAAAATGGAAGGGAAGGTTGTTCCATATGTGAAGAAAACATTCCAAAGGATAGAACCAGCTGCAAGGCATTGCATTGTGCAAGTTTCTAGGGGTGACTGTTATGAGGTTGAGCTTAACTCTGACCTAGTAATAATTGACCTAAGCAAGGCAACATGCAATTGCTTCCATTGGGACCTAACTGGTATCCCCTGTGTCCATGCATATGCATGCATCATGGACAAAAGGGCAGACCTTGAAGATTATGTGGACAGCGCTTACCTTGTGTCCACATACATGTTGGCATACAGGCTTGAGGTTGAACCTATGCCTGGTCCAAAACATTGGGAAAAGGTTAAGCTGAGGCAACCACTACCACCAGCCATCAAAGTCCAGCCTGGGAGGCCTAAGTCTAAGAAGAGGAAGTTGGAGCAAGGAGAATTGGGTGGGCAAAACCAGCATGTGCAGCGGCCAATCAAAAGGAGGAGCACATGTAAGAACTGTGGCCAGCTTGGACACTATGCCAAAACTTGCAAAAACCCTACTGCCACACCAGTAGTTGTCTCTTCACCAAAGAAAGAAGGAGAAAGACCATATTTGAACAGTGACTGGGTGAATGACCAGAGAAAGAAGAGGGCAGAGAGAGCTTTGAAAAAGGTAAATAACAGTTTTGTATGTTAGCTGTGCTTTTTGGAGTTTTGATAATAAAAACTAAATCTACTTTTTGTGTGCTTTACAGAGTGCAGTTGGTGGTACCCCTGGACTAAACAGTATTGCCAGCAAGAGGTTCCCTTAAGAAGAGCATTAGAGGAAGCAGAAGACTCAGTACAGTCAAGGTTCTTCCACAACAGCTGCCACAACCTCTACACCACTTCCTACATCATCCACAACAGCTGCATCCAAGCCACCAAGATCCAAGCTGCATGTAATCAGACCTAGCAACTAGATACATGTTGCTCCTGTTTTGTATGTTAGTAGTAGATGATAAGTGCAATTTTTTCACCTTTTGGAACAATGTTAGATATGAACATATGAAATTTGGATGGCCATGTTAGAATGTTGATGGCTATAATGTGTTAGGAAATGATATGAATGTTTTCAATGAAATTTCAAGAATATACAGATGTATGTGTTGCTTTTTATTACTAAAACAACTGTTTTATTTCATTCCATAACAGCATAATAGTAGCATTACAATCAGTCTTCATCTCCCCCTTAAACCAGTTTATTGATTACAACAGAAGCTAAAACTAAAAAAACAGAACACATAACAACTACAACAACCATTAGCTTGCTGTCAGAATTGCCATTGCTGCTGATCATCTTCTTCCTGTCACCACTTAGGGCCTTGCATTTCTTTCAAACTGTCAACCTCATTTAGCAAACATCTTCTTTGCCCAGTCAAGTCATCAACCTCCCTCTTCAGTGAGTTAACTTCACCCTTCATCAGTTTCTTGTCAAGCACAAGTTGGTTGATCACATCTCTCTCCCACTCAGTTCCATCATCAGTGTCAACCCATTTAAAACACTTGCACCCCGTACTTTCAGTGATAGGGTCATAGAATTTGCAAGCCCTGAATTTCCTCCCTAGATTCTCCCTGGTCCAAGATGCCAACTTTGCAACAGGCAACCCACAATTGCATTTCTTCTGGTTTGTGGGAGATGAGTTATTCCAGGACATCTTCCAACCTGCAAGTACCATAAAAAAATGTCAATTTAACCAAACACTTCCATTACACAACATATTATACACATCTACTCAACCACACCTAGTCATTGTTGTGGTTGGCCTCCATAATGAGGATAACTAGGGGGTGGCCATGTCCCATTTTGTTTCATCCCGTACTCCAAGATACAATCAGCCAAGAAACCAGGGTCATCTGTGCTCCCAACATGTATGGTATACATGTCCTTATTAGGTAACCTCCTAATCATCTTGAACACATCACCATCATCCTCTAAAGTCCTGTACTTCCCTCTATAAATATACTGAAATGTGGGGTGCAGGATGTCAATTGATCCTTCTACTAGGTCTTCCATTTCACGAAGTTGATCTTCAATTTCTATTGTTGTATCCAACAAGTTACTTTTGCCTACTTCATATTCAATGTCAACAACAACACTCAAATACTCAAATCTGAAAACCACCTTATTCTCCTCCATTTCTGCCACAACAATTCCAACAACAAATAAACATAACAAGCTGAGAACAACATCATCCAATCAATCAAAACAGTACATGAATAAATAAATTGTAAACTCAATTTCACAAATGCTAACTAACAATCAATCATAGAAACCCCCAATTCATTAGTACCAGGTACTCTAATTGTTGAAATAACACAAATAATTCGTGCTTGGAACAAGAACCTTAATTAACTAATCCCCCAAATTTCCCCAATTATAGGGCAACAAGAACCCTAATTAACTAATCCCCCCATTTTTCCCCAATTACAGTGCAACAAGAACCCTAATTTTTTTTTTAAAAAAATAAGAATATTTGATGTGAATTCACCTGCTGTCTTTCTTGGGGATGCGTCTGCAATTAGGGGAAGTGTATTTTGTGAGAATTTTGGGAGAAATAGAAGAAGAAATTGCTATTTAACTAAGGGGAAGTGTTTTATGGGAAAAAATCGGAGAGGGAATGATTTAGAAAGAAAAAAATAGCTGTTACTAGCCGTTGGGTGGGGTCCACAAACGGAAATTCCACCGAAAATTCAAAATGGGTGGTAATCTGCGCTCTTATTTAATTTAATGGGTGGTTAAATAAAAATAATTTTGTGTTGGGTGGTTATGTCAATATTGGTCTTATTTTGGGTGGAAATTTACAAATTACCCTTAAAATTATTAAATGGAACAGTAGAAATATTTTATGAAACAGCAGAATGTTACCATAAAAAATGGCAGAGGTCCTGTGAAAAAAGAAGCTCCATCTTTCCATTCTGCAACGGAGGTGATTAGGTTTTCATATGTGTATGCACACCAATCAAATGACCAATTTCATACGTGGAAGTTTTTGAAATTCTCTTTGCGTCGAATGCTTGCAATTTTCTTCTTGTCCATTGATTTGCTTGAAGTTTTTTGAATTTTGTTGAAAATTACTCTTCGTCGTCATTTCTAATGCCGACAAAATAAAATCGCTTTTTGGGTGTAATTTTGTGGAAGGATTGTAAAATGTAAAATGGTGATTTCTGGGAACTTTTATAGGAAAACTGTAGCGGTTATAGGAAGTTTTTTTTGCAGTTATGGAGGCGTTGTGTGTTTCAAATGGAGGAAATTGGGTTTGAAATGACAGGAAATTGAAGAGTCACTTCATAACCGTCAATGATGGTTTTAAAATTTCGAGGGAAACTGCTCATTACGTGTATTAATGTAATGTTTTTATATTTTTTTATTTTTTTATTTTTTGTTTATTTTTTTTTTGCAACTGTATTGATGCAATGTTACGTGCTTTACTACGCAAGCTGTCAACCGTCAGATCTAAATAAATGGATGGTGTAAGATTGATTCTCATTTTAAGATGGTTCTCACCTAAGGGAGGGGTTCTCACCTTAACCCTCTCCTATATATATATATATATATATATATATATATATATATATATATATATATATTCAAAAAGAGGCAAAAATGAAAGGACAATTTACCATAGAAGTTGTTACTAATATAAGAAAAATATCTTCCTTTTTAACAATAAAAAATAACAAAAAAAAATATGCAGTGAAGTACATTTCCTAAGCAATTCTAAAAACAAAAAATCACAATTAAAGTACAAATTCTACAAACAAACCATTACATTCACTGTTCAAAAACCAGTCACTAACAGTAATAACTCCCAAAACAGCCTTTAACAACCAAAACTACTAATAATCAGCTAATTTAACTCCCAAACCAGCCTTTAACAATCAACAACTACTAATAATATTCTTTTTTAATTACATCAAGATAAACAGCACAACATTTCTTGCGTAAAACAATTAGCAAACAATAATAGCAACGAAACCATCATTTAATCATAACTACAACTGCTAATAAGCTAATATAATCAAAGCTAGGTATATTTCTGAAACAATTCCAATCCAATTCAAGCCTAAATTGCATTAAAAAAAACAAATCCCCTAATCAAACACCTCTAATCACACTATTACAAACTTAATAAACCAAACAACAATCAATTACGAAGCAAAACCGAACCGGAAAACAACAAACCTTAAAATGTGCAAACCACAACTGCAATGCAGCCACAACCCAAGCTCCACACAACCACGCCATCGAACAATTTACCCCAAAGAACCAGGACACATCTCCATTGAAGTGGCTTCTGATTTCTATCTACCTTCCACTGAAACGACTTTCTAAGGTAAAGATGTTTTCTTTGTGTAATGGTCGAATGTCAATTTTAAGGGTTTTGATTTTCTTCAATTTTTCCCGTTTTAATCAATGTCGCAGCTCAAAACAATTGTTTACATGGGCCAGGACCGTCGCAGCACCAGCAGCATCAGCCGTCGATCAATTTCCGCCGGCATCACCGTGGTAGAAGAAAACTCCGCCACAAAATGTTACGACATTAGATGGAAGAAAAGGAAAAAAAGGAGGAAAGATCAGTACCAGTCATGCAAAGCACTCATAACTAACAAGGTAAGAGCAAAGGAGAAGAAGACACATCACGCCAAGCTAGAAGTTCAGACAAAACTAACCCCCCCCCCCCCCCCCCCCACAAAAAAAAAAAAAAAAAGGAGAAACGAAAAGACAAAAATAACCCTAGTGATTTGGGGGGTCCAGTTTAGGGGGCTAAGGGCAGAAAAGGAACGTCACTATTGCTAAGTGAACAGTAAATTTGGTGCTTGGGACTTTTGTATATGTCATAGATTAGTGATATGATGATATGATATGATATGATGCATAATTTTATATGTTTACCATTAAGAATTTCCACCAAAAAAAAAGTAAAAAAATAAAAAAAAAAATTACTTCGCATTATTTTTAGAAATCAACATTATTAGGTTTTACAATACGGAGTACAAAAGAGTAAATTTAATTAAATTTAGAAATCAACATTATTACCTACACTTCAAACTTCAATCTTTATCAAGCAAAGGCTTAAAATATTTAGTAATCACTACCCTCATCTTCATTTAGACATCACAAACTAAAATCGATGACAAATTAGGATCAGAAGCTCCCGTAATTCTAGCACCATATGCTTTAGCTTGTAACAATATATTCAGGGCTTTTTCTGATATCACTTCACCTGGAATCATAACCGGAACGCCTGGTGGATACGGACATATCAGCTCGCCGCAAATCTTCCCAAGGGTGTCTTTTACATCTACCTTCTTTTTCTTAGCAAAAAATGCTTCCCTAGGAGTAAGTTTAATTTCAATATCAACAAATGGTTGTATTGCAGTGCGCTCAACCCCCTGCTTCTTAGTCTTCTGCAGGGTGCAGGACGATGACAGGTTCACAAACCCCGCGATAAGTCTAGTAACATGCTCTTTACAGCTTCCTGGAGTAAACAAAAATGTAATGGCACGAGATCCAGTTAAAACCGGGACTACCCTTTGATCATTGAACAAGAAGTCCTTTGCTTCATACCCGGAAACATTAAGATCATGAACACCAACAGTCACTCTTAAAGGGTCTGTGTTAGGAAAATCGAGTACTGATATGCCTGGAATTTGTTTCAGTGCAGTTTTAGCTTCTTTTGCTAGCTGAATCGCGTTGTCAAAGACAATTTCCGGGTTTTCTTTTAACTGAGCTGCAGTAGCATCAAGTGAGGCTAAAAGCAGAAAACTTGGGCTAGTACTCTGAAGAATCTGAAGGCATCTGTTTATTTTTTCCTTGTCTACTAGTAAGCTTTGTGATATATGTAACATTGATGATTGAGTTAGAGACATTAACACTTTGTGAGTTGATTGCACAACTACATCGGCGCCTTGTTGAAGAGCTGAAATCGGAAGCTGTGGATGGAAACCGAAGTGTGCCCCATGAGCTTCGTCTACAATCAAAGGTATACCGCGTGAATGACACAACGTAGCAATCTCTTTTACATTACTGCATATTCCATTGTATGTTGGGGAAGTAATAAAAACTGCAGCTGGTTTTCGCCCTTCAATCTCCGATTCCTGGATTGCCCTCTCCACCTTTCATAAGAATTATACAGGGTATCCCATAAGTACTCTTCCAAAAAAGATTAAAAGTTTCAAGAAATTTAATTTCAACAAAAGCCAATTAGTTTTGTTATAAAAAGGTCAGATAAGCGCCAATAAGTTTAGATAAGAAAATATCTAAGTGTACTAATGATCAATTTCGATATGAACATACCTCTGATAGAGAGACTGAAGTTGCAGCATCCCAGTGAGAATCATAATCAGGGAATATATACTTAGGAATGGCTCCACACAAGAACAATGCAGAGATTGCTGATATATGACAGTTTCGAGGCAGAATCAACGTATCCCCGGGGTTGCAGGTACCCATAATAGCTGCAAGAACACCACAAGTTGAACCTCCTAGAAGAAACCATGTCTTTGATGCACCAAACACCTCTGCTGCTTGCTTCTCTGCTTCTAAAATCGGGTTTTCCAGAGTAAACTGACCGTCGATTTCTCCCAAATCGTAATGGAAGGGTAGTTCACCGATGAGTCGAGTTAACGATGATGGAGCTGCAAGTCCTAAATTATGTCCTGGAAATTGGAAACTTGCATAGTTTTCTTCTATTGCATTTTCAAGTGCAGTAACTAATGGAGTGATTTTTGATTCTTTAGGTATCTCAATTGGGTAAGTCATCAAATCATTGTTCGAAGTTGGCCGTGTTTTTGCATTTTGGAGTTCATCTTGGTTAGTTCTACTTAGTTCAAGAACGTTACTTTCCTGCAATAAGATAATTATAGCGAAATTAAAATAAGCCCAACTTCGAACAAAATACTGGTATGGATAGGAGTATATACGTATTTAAGGCTACATGTAAGAAATTAAAAGTGAAACCAAAATATTATTATGTAAATATAGCAATAATTACACGCATCAATATGTTAAATTAAAACAAAAAAAATTAGGATTTTTTTTTTTATCAAAAACTACTTAATAAAACCTGGAATTTATGATAGGAGTATATACATATTAAAATTAGGGTACGATGTAAGAAATTACCTTAAAAAAAGCAAAATTTATAATCAATCAACAACTTTGTATCAAAACAGACACCGGGAGTGACACGTGTCACTTCCTGGTGCTGTTTTTTCCCTTCAAAACTCCCCTTCCTTTTTAGCCAAAATAATTTTTAGAATATTTGTATGATTCAACTATTCAAAATCTTTTATAAATATTCCTTTTTATTTGTTATTCTTAATTTTTCCATGCACATTTAACTAAAATATTATTCCAACTCTTTTATTTATTTATTTTTATTACAGAACCAACTCTTCTATTATCAATTTATCATCTTTTATATGGAGAATTAGATTTTACCAAAAAAAAAAAAAACATAATACCCCTTCGTTCCTAAATAAATGACACATTCGACCTTTTCTCAATATTCATTTACTAACTTTATTGACCGTCATTTTTAGTGACGTATAAAATACGAATTTTAATACAAATATAAAATAACATGACATGCATATATATATATACAAAAATTAACATTAGAATTACCATTACAGTTGTACAATAGTGGGGGTTGTTGGGAAAGAAACAATTCTATTCATATTATTGAATTGAAATCTTATGAAACAATAAAAATTGATTTATTTTTTTTGTAAAATATTCCTGTAATTTTACCAACTTCTAATTTTTTTTTTTTTTGAAGGTTTTCTTTAAATAAATTTCAAAAAATAAACTAATAACAATATAGGTGAAACTTCGTGAAATGTGAGATAAAAAAAATAGTAAAGATAACAAAGGGGAAAGAATTTTTAGATTTCCTCAATAATGTGCGTACTCTAATAATGAAGTCCAAATTGTTGTATGATTAGTTTTGTTTATTTATTTTAATTTTTAATCTAAAACAGGAGTTTATACATTAAAATTTTGCTTTGTCTTTTAATATAAATTTATGACAATTTACTTTCTATATGTTTAATAGGTATATTTTATCAAATTTTATTTGTTAGATATAACTAATTTTTGAAAAAAAATAGAATTACTGACTTACCGTGTATGGCACGGGGCCTAATCTAGCTATATACTAAAAGACACACCAGCAATAACACGTGTCATCTCCTGGTGTGTCCTACGTTTTTTTTTTTTTGAATAAAATTCTATTAAAGAAACAAATCTTTATACAAAAATAGTTTCTTAATCTTATAAAATAGAAAAAATTGATGGAAATAATCCCAACTTTCAATGATCTGCTCAAAATAATCCCTACTATCATTATTCCCAATATAATCCCAACTTTGACAAAATCTTCTCAATTTGATCCAATTGATTGGATACTTGCTAAGCACGTTGTAAAATTATTTTTTTTTCTTTTTTAACTCTCACCCTTTCATTCATTTCTCCTCATTCATTCTCCCTCTCATGTTCAATTGTTCATCCTTCTCGATTTCATACTGTTATGCCGCCTTCCCACTCTGTTGCCGCCACCATCTTGTTTTGCAGTCAACTCCTTCCCCCCTTCTTTTTGCTGCAACTCTTCCTTCTCTGTTTCATTTTCTTATTTTTCTAAAAAAAAAAATCAATTGTGGTTTTGCATTCAACTCCGTATTTTTTATCCCCTTTGTCTACTGATGTTTCTCCATCAGTCTATCCTATTTGTTCTTTCTCAACTTCTCTTTCTCAATCTTAACGCCGCCATCGCCACTGCCTCCGCCCTTCTTGTTATTGCGCCACTCTCTTCCTCCATTCTTCCTGTTTTTTTTTTTTTTTTCAATTCTATGGTTGTTATTGTTGTTGGGCTTTGTTGTAATTTTGTGGATTTTGGTGGTCGTGTTTGTGGTTTTGGGGTGGATCGTTGTAATCATGGGTATAATTGTAATGATTGGGTGATTGTGGCGATCGTGGGTGGAATTTTGTCGTTGTTGGGTGGCCGTGTTTGGGTTTTTGCCGGTTTGGGTTTTCTTTTTCATCTACCTCTTCCTCTGTATTTGTGTACAAGAACTATTACGAAGTAGTAAATTTTACTTATATTTGTTTTACCCCGAAAATTGTGCAATTTAATCGATTAGACTTACTGAGTATGTTATTTCTGGAGTATGTTAAACTTTTGGTTGATCTTACGTACTTTGGTGGTGGTGTGGGGGGTGATTTGCTGGGGACTGGGGTAATGATGGTGGTCAGGTGTGAAAGGGATGGTGTCCTTCGAATAAGTGTATTATTCCGATAGAGGATTCGAAATTAATTACAAAGCTAATTATTCAGTGAGGTCAAGTGATCGGAATGCATAGTTGGAGGCCGCTTCCGATCGGTAATATTAATGAATAATTAATATTACAGCTTAATCTTTACTGAACCCTTCGAGTCACACCCAATCGTGTAACCGAACCGAAGTGACGAATTAATCCGAAGGTTAAATGAGTCAATAGAGTTTTTACGAACTAAGACGTCGGATACCGAGCTTAGAACGTCGAAGCCGAGCATCGAAAGTTAAGTCGAATTTATGAGTCGATGAGACGGAAAAATCAGTCAAACAACAAGTCAACACGCGTGAAAATCCTAGCCTCGATATGGCCTAGCCAATCGAGGGATGGGTAGGCTAGCATGGCTAGCCGGGCTCCTTGCCGCGAGGCAAGGCTTGGCTACAAGCCCAACATGCATTGCATGAAATGGCTGGGCGAGCTGGCCGAGCAGCCATGCAGGCAAGGCTCACCAGCATGGCCGAGCAAACCATGCGTGGCTGGCAGGCCATGCGGCAAGCAAGCAGCAACTTGCTAACATGCGAGAGCTAGCAGCGAGGCGTGCCAAGCACAGGCTACTAGCACCAAGCATGGTGCGTAGTAGCAGCAGCGCCCAACAACAAAGTAGCCCGCATTTGCGAGGCTTGCTGGTGCGGGAAGGCCTAGCTGGCAGGCCCAGCCGAGAGACCAGGCGCTAGCATGGCTGCCTTGGTGCTCAAGGCGGGCTGCCACTTAGCGTCGTCCTATTGCACCCGTTTTGTGAAGGGGTGGCTTGGGGAGCAAGGGGAAGGTGGTCCTGACCTTTGTAATCCTTACCTACTCCCTTGCTCTCCTTGCGCCACTTGTCGTTTGATGGTTTTTTTGGCTTTTTAATTTAATTTGGAATTAAATTAAATCTGTTATATAATATATGTATTTAGTGGATGCCCATATGATAATTCTAGAATATTCTAGATGTACTATGTTTATTATGTTACAAGGAAACCCTAATTGTATCACATGTATATAGACATATGTACTCCCACATCATTCAAAAATAAGAATATAGATCTATTCTCTCCCCTATTTTCTTCCCTTTCTATTTAATTTCATAACACGTTATCAGCACCAAAAATCTAAATAATTAATAATTCTTTTGATTCTTATACATATACATAATTGTTAACTTCCCTCAATCCACCGTATCTCTCCAATATCACCCTATGTCTCTCTTCTTTCTCTCTCCTCAATTATGCGGCACCACCACCTTCTCAACCGCCTCTTTCTAGAGTTCCGTCGTCGATTTCCACTTTCTCTCTCCTACTTCACTTCTTCTTCTCTGCAACTTCACAATTGCTTCTTTTTGGAATTACTTGTTTGAATTAAGTGGGTTTAAAGATTGTTCAAGGGATGATGTCGCAAGATATTGGTAAGTTTTGGGGAGTTCTTCGATTTTTATTTGGTTGTGGAGTATTTTTGAAGTTGGTGGGATTGAATTGAATTTGGGGTTGTAAATCCTAAATTTGTGGCGGTTTTTGGAGATATGGTGATTGAAGCAAATGGTAATGGGAATGGTAGTGTTCATGGTAATAGTAATGGTGGTAATAAGGTGAATGGTTTTTTGCATGTTTGTTCAAGTAGTAGTGGCGGTAGTGGAGATGCCTTGTGCTACTTCTGCTCAATTGGATGATAAGGTTATCACTCTCTGAATTTTACTCTATACATTCTATCATCTTATCCCTATATTCTTTTCTCCATATTTTTTTACCGAATTTATCAGATAATTATAGGATATTAGACTAGTTATTTAATTGATTTAATTCATATGCTCCATTTTTTTATTGAAAAGAAATACGAAGTTTATTAAATTTGGGATATGGCTATTGATTTGTTTCAGCTAAGTTGTCATATTTGAATATGGCTAACTATTGATTTGTTTCGACTAATTTGTCTTATTTGAATAGCTATAATTTTGGAGAATGAAATCGGTGGTTTCATCATCAATCTCTGTTGAATTATGTGATGATCATAGTATATTGATTTTATTTTTTTCAGTTTTAAATTCTCGGACATGATGATCTAATATACACAACCTGCTGCTTCCAATTGTGTGTGGTTTACCATCACCATAGAGTGTTCAAGCATATTAATTATGAACTGTTTTAATAGCTGTAGATTATTTTTGGATCTAGCTAAATTCCTATGAAATACATAAGATGTTAACTAAATCCTTCTTGAATTAGGCACCAAATTAAAGCTTGACTGTTAGATATGTGTTATAGGATTTAATGAAAACCCAAGTACTTTTATTCTATGATAAAGCTGAGAGTTTTTCATTCATCACTTCTTTAGTACCCACTAGCTCATACAGAGTATATATTGAATTGAAGAAAGCAATTTTTGTGGTGTGCCTTGTTTCCTTTGATGTTGAGCGAGTCTGTGAATATCAGGAAGGTGTGATTTAGAGAAAATGATTGTTAAGCGTGTGATAAACTATGTTACAAAGTATTAGAATTGCATTTGGTTGGATTAGTTATTT